AAGGATTTATGAAGCAAAGTATCCTTGCAAACGATCTTCGCTGAAGCTCTTGAGGCTTGGTTGGTCAGCTCCTCGACACACTCCATGATCTTGTCTTTCTTGTGACCACTGGGTGGGAAATCCTAAGGCCACCATGTAAAATGCATGCGTTTATCTCCATCCATCCACTCAGTGGTTCAATCCAATGAGCCCCGTTAGATACGTGTTTTAAAACCTCTGCTGGGTTTTCTGCAAACGGTGTTCTGATTGCCAGGATTGGAGCGTGGCTGGTCCTCAGGAGAGACGGCAGCCTGGAAGAGCCAAGTCCCAGAACAGGGCCTTGTTTCCAAGAGCTAAGAACTCTTCCTGGGGCTGGAATCCACGGGCTTTGGTTTAATTCTCTCAGCTGTTTGATCTGACTTCATGGCCTTCGACAGATCTCTGAACTCTTTCATGGGCTCAGTTTCCCAGTCTGAAGAATGGGGCCAACTGTCTCCCTCAGCCTCCATCCCCTTCTCCCAAGACCCTAGTCACCGTAGGCCCTGTCCTGACCAGCAAGGCTGAAAGCACGTTCATAAATTCCTAAGGGCTGTGTGAAGTTAGTATTGTTGGAACAAGAAAAGAGGGCTTCAGGTTAAAGATGGCAACGCACACTATGCTGCAGAAACCCAATGAAAGCAACAAAGAGCGAAAACTAGAGAAATAAGTCCCATCAATGGAGCAGAAAATTGGATACAATCCCAGACCACAACACACGAACCAAATCCGTCATATGGGCTTGATTTTTTTTAATCTGTTTATCATACATTCCTTCAGAGAACAAGTCTTCTCTCATTGTGCCAGTCAGTCTTTCCCAACCCAAGTTTGGGGAAGGGCTGAGCATGCCCAGAGCTGGCTAGTTAGACTTCGACAACCTACCGGTCACATTAACTGCTCCAGAGAAGGGCTCATGAGCTGAGCCAGTCCATTGGTTCCTCCCTAGGACCACTGTCAGAGCCTGTTGGAAAATGCCTTTTCTCCAAGTTCCTAAGCTGTGACGAGAGGAGGTGGTCTTGGAGCTGGCAGCAGCCACTCGCTGCTATGTAGTTAGAGACTCTGAGAGGAAGTGAGGTATAAACTGGCTGAGCCAAAGAATGAAGCTAACGACCGAGTTCAGTGGACATTAAACTCCTACGTTCACCTGTGCACGAAGCCACTCCATCCACATTAGGGATGGCTCTGTTGAGGGTGCCAGTGTGTTCCCCTTTCATTTCAATTTCCTTCTTCCCTTTCTGCCTTTCCGCCTTTTTGTTTTGTTTTCCTTTTTCAGTCAGCAACAGCTTGTGCTACTTTCATTAGGTTTTGTCACTTGGAACCATTGCAACCCAAAGAGTTCAGCGGATGAGAGCTGGTAATTAGGGGTAATTAGGGTGGGCACATACCTCCTCAGGCCTTCAGCAGGAAGCACGCTTCATTAAAGGTGGGCCTCTTACATTAGACAGGTGTATACCCAAAAACAGACACCAAAAATCCCAAACCCACTGAAGTAGATTTAAATTCATAGCAACCCTATAGAACAGAGTAGAATTCTCCTTTTGGGTTTATGAGACATTAGATCTTTATGGGAGGAGACAGCCTCATTTTTCTCCTGCTAAGGGACTGGTGGCTTTGAACCATTGACCTTGTGGTTAGCAGTGCAATATAGTAGCCTAATACACCACCAGAGATTGTAAGGTGTATACCAAACTCACTGCCAAAACAAACCAAACTCACCATGAGTCTGTCCTGACAGAATAAAAATGCCCCTGCAGGTTCTTGAGACTAACTCTTGACAGGAGGAAATTATAGGGGCAGAAATGAATAAGAATAATGCTATAAGAATGACTACAGAGATTCTCAGAAGACATGAGCCTTGTATTTCTGAAGGAGAGAACCCTCTAATTTCACCACACCCTGCTTTAGTATTAGCATATGTCAAGCAGGGTAAGTGCCAAGCATCCTTTTAGGTGATTTTCATATGTTAATTCACTTAAGTTTTACCACAATCCACTAAAAATTAGAAGTGAACAGAATTAATGGAGCAAGAAAAAATAATTAAAACATAATAAAAGACCACTTTTTGAAATAAATACAGCCTGAAGCGCAGGGGCATACATTGTATCCCAACAACATTTGATAGAGAGTAGCACATGAAGGCATTTCCAACAGTGCTCAGCACTAGACCACAACCCACTGTACACATTCAGTTCCTAAATGGCGATCAGATGGAGACATGGAAGGAAGCGCCCTCGGACCATCCAGGCAAACAAGCAAGTCACATGAAAGGAGGGGAAGAAGGGCCAGTCTCTGGCTCTGTTGAGCCCTGCTCACAGTGCCAGAAGAAAATGCCTTCGTGGTACCTTTGAAGGTCTAAGAAGAAATGACCCAGGAATTTTATTGCCAGCCAAGTTGTCCTTCAGTTAAAAGGTAACAGATGGGCCTTTTTGAATACGAATCCACTGGAGGAGTTCAGCACCCATGCATTTTCAAGAAAACTCCTAAATAGCAAATTCC